CCCCCCCCTCTCACTTCCTTTCTCTCCCTTCCCCTCCGCTCCCCTTCACCCTCCTTCCTCCTCCAACTCGTTCCTTTTTTACAAGCAAACTTCGATCACAGGGAGGAAAATGAGTTTTAACAAAACATTGCAACCAACAAAAGTGCTGATAACAGTAACAGTTACGTCAGCACCAGCACTTAAAAAGGGTTTAAAAAAGTATAAACGAGCACTGGAACTTCCATACAGCATAAGCAAGAAGTATCAAAACTTGCACAATGAGAAGAATCAGGAACAGAAGTTGGACTAATCATGTGTCAAAGAAGAAAAGTAACAGAAGGATCAAAGCAAACAGATGAATGGCACCCGAAAAGTGTTACAAGAACAGTAATGGGGGTATTAGTAGGCTAAACCAATAATTCAAATACAAGCAGTGATATGAATACAAAAAGCACAAAGCCCTAGTGAACTGAAAAGTCGCCGGTAGCATAGGCGGAAATTCAGGATTAACGTCTACTCCAGGCCAGGTATTTCAAAAAAATCATCAAAATGGGCACAATCAAAAAATCAGAAGTACTTTCGTTCTTAATAAATGATGATGAATCTTGTTTTGTTTACCTTTACTCTCACGGTTTTCTTGCAACGATCCCAACCACCGTTACTTTTATCATTTGATAATGTCTGGCACAAGCAAACAGTCAGTGCTATTAAAGCAAAAACCAGAAAAAGGCCGGATCATTTTATACAATCCGATTCGCTGAGCAAATTCAATTCGCTAATTTCAGATAATCCGCTCATATCCCAAGAGAGGTAGGCAGAAAGAGAGAGAGATATCAGCAATTCCCAAAAATCTAATTTTTTTTGCGTCAACTAAACTAGCATGATTATATTCCTCCAACTTCCTCTCCTTTGGCCCCTCCCCTCCTTCCACCCCTTATTTCTCAAAGCTTTCAAATTCATCTAATTTCCTCTGACAATAGATAAACAAGGAGGTAAGTGCGAAATGCTAACAGAACGTTCAAAGCGTCTCAGACAAAAAAATAATACCAAACTCTTGTCAAGATGGGATTAAAAATTAAAACGTTAAAAACTTAAAATGAAGTAACTTGAAATAACTTCTTCATTGTCTGGACCCAAAATTTAGTCTAAGAATCTCAAATACTGTAGTAAAAAGACACAAGAATCAAAAAGACGGCTCAGTAATTCAAGGGTAATTACACAGAGGATGAAGAAGGAACGACGGCTGGGCCCAATCCATGTGGATGTATAAATTCTAACCATTTACTTCTCGTCGTGCACCGAGCAACTTCTGATCGACGATTTCCTCAGTATATACCAAATCAGCACCATACTGTAACGCCAGGACTCTGTAAATGCACTTTTTTTTTTAAAAAAAAATAAATAATTGGTGCTAATGGGCATCGGTAAGTCTTGAAGCTGTAAAAGGATAAGTCAAACGTTCTGGACAATTCCTGGAATAGCGGCCATTAATTTTGATCCATTAAATCTGATAGAAAATCAAGAAGAATCACAAAAACAGTGAAAAAAATACGATGAGAAAAATGAGCTCGAACTTTCCGAGGAAAAAGCGATGTTCATAATTGTTTTGTAGCTTATTAAATATAAGAAGACAAAACTCTTCCCCAGCTCATTTTTCACGAAGCGCGGAGATGCTCGGAAGTAGGTAGAGTGCCAGTATGATGGTCAGCCCACAGCATTTGCGAGCCGCTT